GTTCTCAGCAGGAGCCAGGTATCAGACACCATAGTGTTAATTCAGGCAAATATATTAGCTTTCTTGAGAGGCTTTACTTGGCCAGTATGTTCTTCTGAGTGGACTGAAACGCGTTCCCATTGGCAAAGGTTAGTGGTTCTTTGCTTTGTGTGGTCCCTTTTGGTGGTGCTGTGGCCTTCTCTCCACAAAACTATGTGGTATTAGGGCTGGGCACGGTGGGTGGCTCACTCTGGGAGGCCGAGGTGGGGGGATCGCCTGAGCCAGAGTGAGACCCCATCTCTGAAAATAGCCGGGTGTTGTGGCAGGTACCTGTAGTCCCAGCTGCTTGGGAGGCTGAGGCAGGAGGAAAGCTTGAGCCCAAGAGTTTGAGGTTGCTGTGAGCTGTGACACCATAGCACTCTACCGAGGGTGACAAAGTGAGACTGCCTCAAAAAAAAAAAAAAATAGTGTTAATGTTAATAGACTCATACGTATTTCAGCACATAGTTTTTCAGAAATCAAAAATTCGAGGCCTTCATCAAACTGATGGCTGGACCCCAGCTTCAGAAATGAAGGCTAAAAGTTGACTGGTAATTAGAAAACGGGTGGAAGAGATCTTTTGAAGTGAGGGTGTAGGGAATCACAGTCTCTCATCCCTTATTCTCACCATGTTATTTTATAAAATGCACTTATTTTGCATGCTGCAATAAAAGCACTCTTTTTTAGTCTCTGATTAAAAAAAATTTTTTTTTGTAGTAAATTGAAGGCAAATAGCCTTTAAGAGAAAAACAAAACCTGCGGTTTTCCATGCAGTTTAAACATTTTTCTTCCTGACATTTAATTTTGGCCCTTTGGTTCATTCCAACCCTCTTTGTGACCATTGGAATCCATGCAGAATTCCAAACAAATAGTAAATATTCTAATTGCAAATGAGTGTTTCCCTATTACTGTCCTCTATAACCAGTTTCCCATATTACTTTTAGTTCTGATCTCACTAACCTCAACTGACTGTATTGGGTCAAATGACTGATAATTCATATTCTTAAAACTGTTTCTCTCCAACTTTTGTCTTTTGATGCAAAATGAATAGAACATACCACATAAAAAGAAAAACAAAATAAATTGAAAAGTAGATTTGAAAATTTCAGACATTTCTTTGCACTTGAATTCATCACATATTATATTAGGTTATAATGCAAAATCTAAGTACATGTTAATGTAAATTATCACAGTCCACCTTGCCATACCGATGCATAAGCAAAATATTTCAGTATATAGAAATAAGATATTTAGATTTAATAGAAGTGACTTAAGAGAACTTCAAAATGTGTGCAAAATAGTGGCTCGGTGGCTGTAGCTCAGTGATTAGGGCGCTGGCCACATACGTCAGGGCCTGCTAAACAAGAATGACAACTACAACAAAATAATAGCCAGGTGTTGTGGCAGGTGCCTGTTGTCCCTGCTACTTGGGAGGCTGAGGCAAGAGAGTTGCTTACTCCAAGAGTTGCTGTGAACTGTGACGCCATGGCACTCTACCGAGGGTGACATGATGAGACTCTATCTTAAAAAAGAAATAAAAGTGTACAAAATAAAGAAGGAAACCCTGTAGTAGATGATAGGGTGAAAATTCTAAAATGTGTGATTTTTTTTCTCAGGATAGTATCTTGTAAAGATGTGTATGGCCAACAATGCCTCAAGCGTGTGCATAGATGAATTGGCTTAGTCATTCCATAGTGCTTACTTTCAGAGAAATATTTGGTTTTCTCTTGAAGCAATTTATGGCACATTTGGAACTGCCAAACTGTTCTGAAGCTATTCGTTTAGAAGAAATAGCGATAAATAAAATGGGTTTATGTGCTCCAGAGCGATTTTGTCTCCTTCTAAGTATCTGGCCTTGTACTTTTCCTTCTCCCCAGAAGTAATGTTTTTGCTTCTGTGAAGTGATCTGTCCTTGGACTGCTGATCTGTGTTTGATATAATCCATCAAGACAGGAGTCCTACTGCCTGTGAAAAGCCATTACAAGAAAATAAAAATCTAAAACACATTTGAGTTTTATCATGCCCATCCTGCTTTCATTTAAAATGCGGTGCCGACAGACTACATTTTGCTGGGTTGAGTGCCTCAGTTTTCAAGTCAACCAGCTGACTGAAAGAATAGTGAGAATTTATTCTTGCAGAAAAAATTAATACTAATAAAGATGATGACAGAGATCATGATTTGTAGTGATGGGCAGATTGTTAAAAATGTAGCATCTGAGGCTGCTCTCCAAACCTCCTGTATCAGTCACATTTTAGCCATGTTCTCTGTGAGTTAGGGAAGCAGTGTCTTTGTCTCCACAGCACTAAAGGAAGAGAAAGACAGGCTCAGAGTCTCTGCCAGTCTGCCCGCAACTATTTGCATGGTAAACACACGTGATGGAAGTTTTAAAGAACTAACAGACTTGGATTTACCTTAAAATTTTGCAAAAATATGAAATTCTGTTTTTATGAAAACCAGTAAGACTATAACCAGTACAATATTTAACTTAGGTAGGCCGTCCCACTCTCAGGGTGCCTGGCTTCAGGGACTCTGGTGTGTCAGTTTGCTCCATTGCATGTGTAGGAAGCTGATTAGAATTCAATTTCAGGTGTCAAAACCAACCTCTTACCTGGTGTTGTAGATGGTTCCATAGACCCTTCACGACTTTGTTTCTATGATAGTGAAAAAAAGCAAGCATCTCTTTACTTCCATACTCTGCCTTTCCATTGGGAAAAGGGCAGAAGAGAGGGGTAGGAGAGAAAAATCTAACAGTAATAAAAGATTTTTTCATAGGGTGGCGCCTATGGCTCAAAGGAGTAGGGCCCTGGCCCCATATATGGGAGGTGACGGGTTCAAACGCAGTCCTGGCCAAAACCGGTAAAATATATATATATATATATATATTTCCATAGGTTGAACTAATAACCTACTTTAAGTAATTTCTGTTTTCTTCCTTTCTGGATTTATATATAAATATAACTCTTTCTTACCTCACCTCAGTTTTGCATGAGGGAACTAAACTGGTGAATAGTTTTATAAGATAAACCTTTGTTCAAAGCTTAAAGCTTTTAGGAATTACGTTTAAATGTTATAAATTAGCTATTTTTATTAACTTATTCTTTATGGTGCTGAATTCTATAAGTAGTCTAATTTAGACTCAAATTAACAAGGAGGCCATTTTATTGTTATACTAATGCACATTTCCAACCGTAACAGAGAAATCCACATGCTGGTTACAAATGAACTCCCCCATGATTTCACAGCGGTACGTCGAGCTTTATTAAGTAGCATAAAACATTGGGTATAGAAGGCAGAATGCTTCCAGGGTAATGATGTGGAGACTCCTGAAATTGTGGACTGGGACTGTGTTTCATTTTTCATTAAAGATCCAGGGCCTGGCATCAAATTGGCCTAAATAAGTGTTGACTTATGTATTACTTTCATCAGTTATGCATCTATCCTGTAGGGACTCAGGTGCAGTGCCATCTTTAGGGAAAATGCATTGTAAACTCTAAGAAGTGTGACGAATGCTGTAATAACACAATGTCTTTTGTCTTGATTGCATATTATAAAATGATCATAGCACACCCTTTAGTTGGTGTTTCCCCTCCTCCTCCCTGCCGGGAAGACCTTCAGCTTGTCACATCCACAGAAAATGCAGCCATTCTCATCGGTATTTTCACTTATTTGCCAATTAGCTTATGATTCCTTTTTTCTCTAACTTTAGAACCTCCCCACCCATAAATCAGTGATGATCTTACTCGAGAAAACTACTATTCCTTTTCCCCATAAACATCAAGGGAAAAATGGGGCCATGCCCTTCCACAGGTAAGTAGTATTTACACTATCCCAGGTCTGTGCCTTATGGCACTTTCTGAAATATCTGTGTCTATTTCAGCTACAGGTCTGTACTTCGAGCCATGTTTTTCTAATTAGTTTTGTTTGCATTGGTAGTGCTCTGAAATGCTTTGCATTTTAATTAAACTTTTCTTTTTTTAGCTGTATTTTGGGGTGATATTGCCTTAGATGATGAAGACTTAAATATCTTTCAAATAGATAGGACAATTGACCTTACACAGAACCCCTTTGGAAACCTTGGACATACCACAGGTAAGGTCAATTATTGGATTAATTTTGTGTTCATTTTGGAGAAAATACACTCTCATCTGTAATCTTTGAATCAATTTGATTTCCATGTCCCACTGATCCACTTTGATTTTATGAACACAAATGAACATGTTTAAAAATTGAGGTTTTATTCACACCTTTCATTTTATTAATTTATTTAACAGACATGTTATAGAGTTTTCTATGTACCAGCCTGGCTTAAGTGCTTTATTCTTTTTAAATTTGAATTCTCATAACAACCCCATGAAGGTTGGTACTAATATTGTTGTGATTTAAAAGGGAAGAAATTGAAGTGTGGAAAGTTACATAGTTTTTTTTATTGTCACATAGTCTGCAAGTGGCTAAGTCAGAACCAGAAATCAGTTCTGACAAAGGCCAGATTTTATACTCTTGGGCATTACATCTAATCGCTTACCATTTGCATATCGAGTTGCAAAATGTAAATTAATTCTAATGTAATTATATTGGAACTTATTTAGAAAAATGTATGTATATGTCTATATTTATCTATCAAACTGTACAATTTTTATGAAAACCCCAGAAGGCAGTTTATTTCAATTTTCAGCATTTTGAAATATTTAAAAAATAATTTCAGTACTCACTTTAAAATAATTTTTATTGAAACTTAAATTTTTTACCTTTACTTGGTAAAATGTTTACTCTGTATTATTTTGGAGAAAAATTGGAAGGTTAGAAAGATAAAATTTTCTTTTTTAGTTACAGCTAAAAAATTTAATTGATGTCATACTTTTTTATTTCAGTGCCTTTCCCCTGTATGCTATTTTTATTTTTCTGTTGCATGGAAAATAAAATATGTAGTTCTTTTCTGGTACTGAGCAAAATGTATTATACATTTTAGACTGAAGGCTTTTTACTAGAAACATTATCTCTTTGCCCAATTTACCTTTTTTGCAACTTTTTATTATGACCAATTGCAAACATATGTCAGAGTTGATAGGCTACTGCAAGGAACACTTGTAGCTAATTACCAGTTATTTGTTGTGTGTGCATATGTGCAAAAGTGTGTGTATAGAACAGCATTTTGAAATGAATTGCTGAAAACATATCGTGTTAATAATAGGTAGTTTAGTGTACACTTTCTATGATTCTATATAATCAAAATACCATTATCACATCTAAGAAATTTACTGAAAGTAAGAAGTGTGTAAGATAAAACCTAAGGAATTTTTATTTTTATTTATTTTTTTTTTTAGAGACAAGACTCTCACTTTGTCACCCTCAGTAGAGTGCTGTGGTGTCACAGTTCATAGCAACCTCAAACTCCTGGGCTTAGGTGATTCTCTTGCTACAGCCTCCTGAGTAGCTAGGACTACAGGCACCTGCCACAACGCTTGGCTATTTTCCTGTTGCAGTTTGGCCAGGGCCAGGTTCAAACCCACCATCCTGGGTATATGGGGCTGGTGCCCTACCCACTGAGCTACAGGCGCCACCCCAAACCTAAGGAATTTATAAAATAATAGCCCATACTATTTTAAAATAGCATGCTTTGGCTTTGTTACATACAGTGACAGTCTCTTTTGAAGCACATGGCTTTGTTACATACAGTGACAGTCTCTTTTGAAGCACGTACCAAAATAAGAGGAAGATTGTGCTTCACAGTGTGACCACATATAGCTCCTTCCTGTGGAGCGTGTACACGGGCAGCCCCTCTGATCGCTGCCTCACATGAGCCATAGAACAGTGATGTAACTCATAAAAGCCTTAGATTTATTTTAAGTTGGATTTTCAGCTTTTACTAAAATTTTCCTTAGCTTCAAGCTTTACTTAGGTCTTTTTTTCTTAACCTCCCTTCTCCATTATTTTGAAGGCATTCATTTTCTGTAATTTAAAATTAATGCTATTATTTAAATTTGTTATTTCATTTTCTATTAAACTCTTGAGATAGTAATATTAGAAGAAACATGTTATTTCAGATATACAGAATAAAATGGATTTATACAGTTAATAATAAAAACATTTATTCTAAATTTTTATGTAAAAGGGACACATTTGAAAGTTCAGTAGTAAACTTGTATTATTCAGTTGAATTTCAAACAATGAAAAAGTATCTTATATATTTTTCTTACTCTTACCTTTCTTGTTAATCTACTTGTACTAATTTGACTGTATTTCTGATTTCCTAACTTCAAAATGTATAATTTTTCCCATAAATATTTAATTTGTATATTTTCATTGTTATAAAATGTGAAAAATAACCACTTTCCCTTTTTAAAAATCTATTCTAATGAAATACCTACAGAGAATCTTACTGCAGTTGCTGTAAAATTATTCAAAGTTGCTAACAATATTATTAAAAACATTTTGCTGGGTGGCACCTGTGGCTCAAGGAGTAGGGTGCCAGCCCCATATACTGGGGATGGTGGGTTTAAGCCTGGCCCCAGTGAAAATTGCAAAAAAAAATTTTTGCCTTTGATAGTTTAGAAAATTTTTTCCCCAAATTCATAATTACTAATTTACTAATATCCTTAGGCTATCTTAATATTAATAAAGTCATTTCCTTTTTTTTTTTTTTTGTAATTAGTCACCTTGTAAATCTAGTTTTGTGTCTTTCTGGCCTGTTTAACATAAATATGTTTGCTACCTAACAGCTATTTATGCACATAAATGCCATACTTTAAAAATGGATTTTGTAAATGCTTAGGAATGAACATACTTATGTATTACCTCATCTTTCTAAAATGTTCAATGAAAAAAATTTCAAAAATGTTTCTCAAGATGAACAGCAAAAATGTGGCTATGTAATGCAAATAATTAAGCAGATTATTAGTCAGTGAACAAGCATTCTCACTTACTTGCCTTATAAGGACTTAACTTGATTTTTCTTTTAAGAGGCTTATATGGCAGTAGATTTTATTACAGTTTTTTTTTTTTCTTTTTAGCTTCAGTCTAGGTAATTAAATTTCAGTATTTTAAAGGGAAAATAGATATTGTTAAGAAATAGTTCAAGTGATCTGAGAGCGGTTTGCTGTTTTTATGGATTTCTGTCTTTGATCGTTTTAGCTCAAAGAGACTCTAAGAACTATAGACATTCTCAGTGGTACGATGTCACCTGCCCTCGTTTGGATGTCATTAGTTGTTACATTGGTTGTTTGCTCAATGATACCACTTTCTTATTGTCGAAAAATATTCAAGGAGAATAAAGAAAACAGGGGCCAGAATTGGGAGCAGAATTTCATGAAAGCCCTGGCTTGAGAATCAGGAGGCTTGAATTTCTGCCAAATGCTCTGCTTTCTTGCTTGCGGCAGGAATCTACCTTTGCTGGTCTGTGCTGCTAGACTCTCAAGAACACATACTCCCTTATGCCTGTTCTTTCCCATTTCTTTTGAGCTTTAAAATTCTTTACGCTCTATTTTTATAAACTTTTCAAATTACATAGTGTAACAGAAATATATTTTGTGGCTGAACATTTATTTGGAGTTTTATCTTGTGGCTTTTTTCTAATTATATGTTATTGGTTTTTATAAATCAGGAAACTAATTTCCCAAATTGAGTTGAATCTCTCATAAAAATACGATATGCTTTTAAGAAGTTTTCAAAATTGATGAAAGCTTTGGCGCAAAACTTGTACTACACATTTGCTTTTCTGATGTTTTTATTTCCATTCGCTGATTTGGCTTCTGAAAATATTCCATTTGCATTGAGAAAATAGCTGGAATGCAATCAACGGGACAGAACAACTTGCTGTCATTCTGTGTAACACTGTGTGATGTCAAGGTCACAGTGAAGACAAATGTTTCAAATTATCAATACATGATTCAGTTGTCATAATGTCCAAATAAAGTCATTTACATTGCTCTCTGAGTCTCTCCCACCCCTTACTTTTAGTTACCAACATTGGTTGTGGAAGAATTTTTATCCTCCTCAAAGAGTCATGGATATTCACAACTTTAATGCTTGAAGACCACATTAAAAAATGTCCAAAGAGAAATCAGTATAAATTTAATACCATTATTTATTTGAAGAATTTTAACGGACTTTAACTAACTTGTTTTCTTTTATTCTTTAAGGTGGACTTGGGGACCATGGTATGTCAAAGAGACAAGGAGCCCTCTACGAACTTATAGACAGGATAAGAAGAATTGGCTCTGGTATATCAATGTTTAAAGTTGCAGACGCTTGACTTGATGTACAGTAAATATTATACTCATAGCAGTTTGGTTTGCTAAAATCAGTGTGCCATTGTGATGCAAAGTATTCAAAGGACATTCTGAGAAATTTGTATTTTATTAGCTTGTATTTAATACAAATCTTTTATAACTTAATTTGGGACAATTAGAAATGTTCCTTTAACTTACTTTAAGATTCTCCTTATTAAAAAAAAGCGTGTGAGGTGTTGGATATCATACTGAGGTAATTTTTTTTTTTTTTTTTTTTTGCAGTTTTTTGGCCGGGGCTGGGTTTGAACCCACCACCTCCGGCATATGGGGCTGCTGCCCATACTGAGGTATTTTTTAAAGCCTAGAGCTACATCAGTTTTAGTCAAATGAAAAAATATCAGTCATTTGTTTTGAAGTAAAATCTACTAATCCACTTAAATCAATAAACTTATATATTAGATTAAAAGAAGTTAGAATATTTTTGACCATTTAAAAACTATTGTATATGTATATGTATCACACATGTATCTATATATACATCCAGAAAAACTACGTCTGGTTTCATAATTACTTAATATTTATAGTTTTGAATTTATTAACAACTATTTGTAGTTGTTTAGAGGTTTTCTTAAAATGCCCCTATTCATAGCTCAGACCTTAATATTTCTTAAGTTAATATATTATTAACTACTCAACATGCATGCTTTCAAGGGATAATTTTCCAAGCAAAGGTGCTTTGGTTTAGGATATTGAAAAGATAGACATACATGTTAGAGACACGGTGCAGGGGACCTACATTTAATAATAATATTGGTTGTGGCTAAGTAAATACTGCTGGTAACATATTTGTGTTGACAGTGATAGATGAATAAGAAAGAATACTCATGAAGATTTAGGAAAAACTGTTTTAAGTTACAAAAATGCTGTGATAGGTCACCAAGAAAAGTAAAAAGCTCTAGACTTGGAAGGTGCTCCAGAACAGAATGCATTCATTGGCCAGGTACGGTGGCTCATATCTGTAGTCCCAGCACTTTGGGAGGCTGAGGCAGGAGGATCTCTTGAGCTTAGGAATTCGAGACCAGCCTTAGTAAGAATGAGACCCCCATCTCTGCTAAAGATAGGAAAAATTATCTGGGTGTTTTGGTTGGTGCCTGTAGTCCCAGCTACAAGGGAGGCTGAGGCAAGAAGATTGCTTAAGCCCAGGGAGTTTGAGATTTCTGTGAGCTATTACACCTCAGCATTCTACCTACAGTGACACAGTGAGACTCTGTCTCAAAAGCAAACAACAACAACAACAACAACAAAACCCAGAATGTATTCATGTTGCCTGTGTAACCCCTAAAACTTGCCATTTCCTTGATGTGAGTCGAGAGGAAGTTGGGATGGAGATGAGATATCTCACTGACCCAGGTGACCAAGACCATACTTGTCTTTAGTTATTTTTTTATCTACATAATGTCATATTCAAGATTCTAGGCTGTACTACAGGATATCAATTCTGATTTAAAGGGTTAGGGAGTTAGCAGGAGTAGGAAGAGTCTTGAATATCACAGGACTGTATTAAACAATATCTGTGTTATCATCGGGTGGAGAACTGGTCATCAGCTAGTAAGTTAGAAAACATAAAACAAGTTTTCTATGGCCTATAAGCACACCTGCCTTCTCTCTTCTTTGGCTATTGTATGAAAAATAGCCAAAATTCACTCACAGAGCATTAAGAAATAGAATTTTGACATGAAACACTTAAATGTTTTAATGCTTTCTTTCAAATATGTAACATAAACCAGAGTTTTCCTTTAATGCATTTTGACTTCAGGCATATTTATGCAAATATGTAAATAAGGCATTTCAACTTTGTCCTTTAAGAGGTAAATGATTCCCTGACCAAGAACTTCCGTTTCACAGAATGTTTTAAATGTCACTGCAGGCTTGGAGCAAAACAACACAGTTAAGGGGAAAGTACCTCTAAAATTCTCAGGGCAAAATGAGAAAAACCGGGTTCCCAGAGCGGCCACATCCAGGACAGAGCGGATATGGCCCGGAGGTGTTATTCCTTACATCATCGGGGGCAACTTCACTGGTAAGATATTCCCAGAGTGCCTGTTTTGATAAAGCAATGAAAACCATTATACAGATTAAGTGTGTATTTTTATACAATATTAATATAGAAAACAGTATTAAACCAATCTTGGAGAATTACTGCATTAACCTAGGTTATTAGTTTAGAATGTCTTTGAAAATGAAAAAGTATCTTCAGCCTTGTGTTCTGGAGTCTAAACTGAGTTTCAGATGTGCCCATTAAATCTAGAAGCTGATCTCTTCAACACAGGAATAAAGTATGGCCCATTCATAGAGCCTTGTAGACACATATTTGTAGAGATAGTGAGCTTTAACCTTCTGATTATAAAGTGAGTGTTCCTTTCTCTCAGTGACTCATTCCCGGTACTGTAAACTAGTAATTTTTGGCTGATGATAGGGATGGCGTGCTGAACTGCCTAGAGACAGGGCAGAGGACTGAGCAGGAAGCAGTCCTCTAGGGGTGCTGGTGTTTTGTTAATACCACATGTGTTTTCCAGGCAGCCAGCGAGCCATGTTCAAGCAGGCCATGCGGCACTGGGAGAAGCACACCTGTGTGACATTCATTGAGAGGAGCGAGGAGGAGAGTTACATTGTGTTCACCTATAGGCCTTGTGGGTAAGTAGAACCAGGGAGTGACTTACATTTAGAAGGAAGAAAAAGAATTAAAGATCCATGAGTGGGAGTCATTTCTTAATATTTGCTTAGTATTTTGTCCATGGAAAGTCAGAATTTTACATAAGAACCTGTGTACATAGAGGGAATTCTTTGATCAGAGATGTTTGTGTGGCTACCCTGGCATCTTACTCCACAACGTCAGCCGCTTTCTCTAACAGCATAGGCACTGCCAGTGTCCCGTTCTCCTGAGTTAAAACATCCGTGCAGTGCATCACCGTTGGTATTCACTATGCCCCTCGGTTTCCACCCAGACCATGGCATTGCCTTAATTCAGACCTGTCTTATCATCTCACACCTGGACTCTTCCTTTTTCTCTCCTGTCTCACCTCACCAATTCATCGCCACTAGAATTATCTTCTGAAAATCCTGGTCAAAGCAAGATACCACACTTTCTGAGGTTCTCAGGTATTTCTTTCTATAGGATGTTTTCTAGATTTGTTTCTTATAGGATGATAACAAAATACTTTTTCCAAAAAAAGAAAAAGAATATATTCTGTAAGTTGTGAAAATGTTGTGCTAAATCTGCATAGCAGCCAGCTAATGAGCAACACTACTAACATCCAGTTAGAAGTAGATTTCCCTGGCTTGGGGCCTGTGGCTCCAGGAGCCGAGGCACCAGCCACATACACCAGAGCTGGTGGGTTCGGATCCAGTCCGGGCCTGCCAAACAACAATGACAACTGCAACCAAAAAATAGCCAGGCATTGTGGTGGGCGCCTGTGGTCCCAGGTATTTGGGTGACTGAGGCAAGAGAATTGCTTAAGCCCAGGAGTTGGAGGTTGCTGTGAGCTGTGACATCAAGGCACTCTACCCAGGGTGACAGTTTGAGGCTTGTCTCAAAAAAAAGAAAAGAAGTAGATTTTCCAAACTTATTTGTAAAAGGAACACATACTCCTCCCGTTTATGTCGATATCCCAGAATGTTTTGGGAATGCTATCCTGAGAATAAAATCCAAATTCCCTGATACAAAATTTAAAGAATGCCATGAACTCAGTGCAACTTCCATTTCAGCCTCCACATCTATCCAGAAAGCCCACAGTCCAGCCAAGGCACAATAGTCAGTTGTCCAAGCAATATTGTATACTTTTAAAAGACTGTTTGTTGTGAAAATTTTCAAACTTCTCTCTCTGTGTTTTTGGTTAATTGGAATTTGTCTCTAAATATGCCATTGAATCCAGCTTGATTTGTTTTGCGAAGAATACTTGGTGAGGAGTATTCATGCTGTAGCACGTCTGGAGGCAAGTGACCTGCCACTTGAGTGACTGAACGGTGCTTTCACGCAGTGGCAGCCAGCAGATGTTCCCATCATTTCAAGTAGTGATTGTTCAATGTTATTTTTTCTAAAATTCCTTCTATGTGTATGAACTTAAATTCTTCTGTAAAGAAAAATTTTCTCTAAACTGCTACAGTTATTTGAATATGCTATAGTGTAGTTCATAAAAATAAGTCAAAATAAATGCTTAGTTCTTTTGTAGAAAGTAATTCTTGCCTTAATGACATGAATGTTTTGGGGGAAAATACATAATTTCATTAGGTCTTGACTAGAGAACATTATGTCTTTTTTGTCTTATCGTATTTTCCTATTATACTTAACTTAAAAGTAATGTATTTTAATTTTGGTCCTATCTGAGTGACATTAAGAAAAATTATACATCATTACCTTTCTAGGTATTTTTGGATAGTGCCACACGCTGTTAGTTATGAATTATTTGGCAGTGTTTTCTTGATAAATTTTGGTTACATTTAAAATGCCTCCTACTTCTTTTTATCTATTTAATATTTTAAAAGTTCAAATCTGTCCTTCCTTCCTGTCTAACAGGGAAGGATCTAGCTTAGCTGACATACTTGTAAATGCATAATGTATTCAGATCAATACAACTTTCCTCCTTTTTGCCCTTCAGTTCTGTTAACACAGACCTATTACTTTATTGCTAATTTCTCTTTGCAAAAAATTTGCCTTCATGGTAATTATTTTCAATTCAGTTTCAGAGTTTCCATTTCACCTGCTTTATCCTGCCAAATAACCATCCATTTCCATTCACCGACATCTCTTTCTGTTTTTGCTGATTGTATTTTTTTCTGCTTGGAATGCCTTCTTCTTTTTTTTTTTAATCACTGGAATTCTGTGACATCTTTCATTCCCACCCGTCTCTGAGCTGTCCACAGTGGGATTTTTCTCTATTTATGCCTGTAACAGTTATATTTCCACAGCTATCAAAATGTGTAGTGAAGAGGGCAGGTAACTAACCTCCATGTCCCTCACGACACCCAGAGCCTGCCTCGCGTGCCGGCAATCAGGAAAGTCTTGATAGTTCACATGTCATCTAAGCATAGCATGTCCAATCTGTAAATGCAGTGAAAGAATGTAAGATTTGGTCGTACATGGAAAGAATATAAGAATTTAAAGCCATATTTAAGAATATGTACTTGAATTTATTTTAGAGATGTGAAAACTGAAGTTGTGACTTGGCCAAAGATACTTAAATCTGCATTTACACTCCTGAACTTAGACTCTTGAGCATTAATATATACTTGTATTTCTGATTTTCATGGTGGTAATATTAAGTTGTGGTGATTTTTTTCCTACTTATTTTACAGTTCGAAGGTTGCCTTATTTTTTTTTTTCAGTGATAGAAAGAATGATACGTTGGCTAGGAATCCATTGTTGCTCTCTAATCATTCTAATCATTTTGTGACTTACAAATTTCATTTGGAATTACCATTATGGACTACAATTTCATAAAAAAATTATTTCATTATTATTTTTTCATGATAATGCTGCACATAAATCTCCTAAAAATTCGTTCAAATTATTGAAGAGTGTGGAAATTGATATTGCACAAAATACTTCTGGTCAGCTAGAATACTTGTCAGGTCACACACTCTGCAATGAGACTTCACTGTCAAATCTCCTAAGAGCTGTGTCATCAGATGTGCAGCATGTGACAGTGTCCAGTGTAACTCCTGGTTGAGTGTGCACAGCCTGCAGGGTGGTCCGTCAGTTTGACGGCGACATAGATGAATTTCATTTCTAACTTTAATCTGGTAAGAAACTCATCTTACTCTTAATATCACCTTTCCCACTTCTGTTTAGCTAACCCACTGTCTTAGGAAATTTGTAGCTCTTGTAATTTTTTAGAAGAAAAGCTAAAATAATTTGCATATCTATAAAAAGTATTAAATGTGGAACCAGTTGTGTCTTATAAAATATTCTATTTCCCACATTATTCTGCTACACTCAGCTTTTATTCAGTTAATATTTCCAGGTGCCTTTTCCATGTCAGGATTTTGTAAGGGGGGAAATAATAAAATACAATAAACAACAAGTAGAGATTAGAACATTAGGATCCAGAGCAGTTCTCGTTCTTGAGCTGTGTTGCAAGTGGATGTGTTGTTTATGTCTGTCTCTGTGTGTGCTCTGTATATGTGTATGTGCTTGTGTACGGGCCGAGGGGAACATGCCTGAACTTCTGAAGGATTGCCAAAAATCACTGGAATGATGCAGATTAATATGGAAGGTCGTTCAAAAAGTTTTGAGATACACAAAAGTCAAGAACAAATGAAGTGTGTGTTCAAACAATTGAAGCCCTGCCAGCAACCCCGATCAGCTGAGGGTGACTCAGAAAGGACACTGTTGACTGTGCTTCTTGAAAGTAAAATAATGGACCAGAACACAGTCTCAAAATTTTCAGAGTACCCTAGGAGTAGAGGTATATAAACTGAAAGATACAGGGAAACTTTCTGGTTTTATGCTTAGGCTTGACAAAGTATGGACAGCTGTGCAGAATTGTGACTGGACAGAGAGGGTCTGCAGCGATGCTAACAGAGTGAGTGGGGAATCCCGCCAGGCCTGCCTGTCCAGACACTGCTTGGCTGCTCAGAGCAGCTGGTCAGGGTCCCCCCTATCTGGGAGTGGGTCTCAAGGTCAGATAATTCCTGTAAGACCAGTTTTTACACAGAATGGTAGAGGGAATGTTAGGTTTATGGCTGCCTTTGGGGAACAGGGCTGTAGTTTCTATACTGGCCTCTGGGAAGAACCAGAGCCCCAGCACAGTTCCACTGACGTGATCTCTTTGAGTCATCTTCAGTGGGACGTAGCAATGTGACCCACCCACCCCATATTTGTAAAAGGTCTGAACTGAACTGTAAATACTTCCCATTGAATAGTTGTTATCATCAATAGCATTTATTTTATAAGAAGATTATCATGAGTAAAATTTGAGATTGTTTTACAACAGATTGATTTGCTATTTGTGAGAGATTTATGTAACTATAAATGTATTATCTTAGTCTATTATATAATGTTATATGGCTCAATATCTTCTGTTTATATTATTTCTCTTTTTTCTATTAGATGTTGAGTACCTTTACTTTTTCTATTTACTATTCTTTAATGATTGTTAAAAAAACAACTAACCAAACCAAAAAAAAAAAAAAAATCAGAATTAACCTATTTAATTTCTAAATTTTGTGTCTTTAATAGTATTTAATGTTGGTCTATTTGGTTGTTCATATTAGAATAATAGTCACTTATTGATCATCTTATACCAATTGAATTCTCATTTTGTGCCACTTACACACCAACTATTGGGAATACGAGATTGAGCATCACATGTTTCCCTTCCAGAAGGGAAACAGAGAGTTAGGCAGAGAGTGAGCACTGGCCAGGATTCTCATTTGCAAACAACAGAGACTGGCTGATTTAGGCAGGAAAAAAATAATTTCTTAGAATGTTATTAGATTAGGGAGTCACACAAATGGAGAAATCGGAGAGCCAGGGTGAGAGAAGCATCTTAAAGAAGAGTGAGTTCACCTCCTCACTATATGTCAACGCGCTGCCGGGGAAGCTCCCCTCCCCATGGTGGCTGGGGCCCGTGGTTCTACCTTCTGAGATCTGCTTTGCTGGCAAGTACTCAGTGAGGACCACAGTGCTGAGACTGCAGTCCAGGATGTGCCAGGCACGTCCCGTGCTCACAGCAAGCTTACACTGGGGTGGCCAGGCAGAGAAGAAATGGAAAACAATGACTGAGATATAAAGGTGTAAGTTACCATAAATTCTAAGAAAACAAGGGGAACAGGGTCAGCAGAGAAAGAGGCAGTGCCTGGGGGAAGTCTGGACGAGGATGTGGCAGGGAGCCTGTGGGGACCTGGGGAGAGTTCCTGGCAGATGGACTGGAAGGAAGGGCTCTGAGGCAAGATGAGGCCAGCCCAGGCCAGCCCAGGCCAGCCCGGAGGAGAGATGAGCTTTGTGTGGCAAGACATATGTGCATGTGTGTTCATGGGGGGGTGGAGGGGAGGCATGGCGTGCAGTCCTATGGAGTTGTGTGAGGACTTCAGAGAGCCTCCTGCAGGTAGCTGAGGAAATGTCGCCATGGTAGCAGCTGACCCCAGAGCTCAGAGGCTGGAGCAGCACCCACCCTCACCCACACTGCCATCTGGGCTGATGTCCAGCCTCACAGAGGAGCCTCCCTCTGGGGTGTGTGCCTTCTTGTGCAGGTGAAATAGAGACAGAGTGGCCTTTCACGTGTCGGCTTTTAAATATTCTCCCTCCAAAGTTTCACTGTTTGTACTTCTGTGACCTTGTCCAGAGCAGGTCACCTGAGCAGGCCCATCTTGGTGCGGCAGGGGGGTGTAGTTATCTGCTGGAGAAAGGTAAAGAGTCATTTTGCTCATGGGTACCACTTTCCACGGGGCCATCTGTCAAGGTGACATTAAGGAATGGCATAATTGGACTTTACATTTACAAGTGACCTCAGTGAGGAGAAAGGGGTGCTGAAGGGAGGCAAGGCAGCAGCAGGGGGAGACGGCAGTCTGGGTGTGCAGTAAAGAGAAGTGGGGTGATTCTGGGGACAGACAGCGGTGGAGTCCAGAGAGGAAGGGTTTGGGATTCAGGAATGCTGGAGTTGTCTGCCCTCGGAACCTGGAAGGTTAGGGTTCCTATATTAACTGGGGTGGGGAATTTGTGGGTAGAGCAGAGATTTTGGAAAAGAAAATGGGGGACATATTAAATTGAGATGGTTAGTGTGTATCTGAGTGGCGAGACTGAGACAGATGGTGGGACAGTGGAGCCTGCTCCGTGGCAGCTGCTGTTTGGGAGACCTGCGTGGAGTGTGAACGAAGCAACACAGGTCCCTGTCCCCACCTGGCTCATATTCCACTGGGGATGTTTACATTTTAATAGCTTCTTTTAAATAGTTTGTTATTTAAAAAAAACTTGTCAAATTAAAACAAAAAAGGAATTGAGTCATTTTAGTGAGAAACATATGGTGATTAATCTAAATAATTAGAAGTATTTAAAATACAGCAGATGAAGAGGTAGAACCAGTTCCAGCTTGTGGAAGGTTCCAAACATTTATGTGGTCTACCGAGCCAAGGCCAAAGTAAGGAGCAGCAGATTTTAGGTGACCTGATTACCCTCTATGATTAAAGGAGAGGCAGGGCTTTCCTATGTAGATGGTGAAAGATTTTCTTGAGAGAGCAAATAGTCATTACCCTGGCCAAGTTTCAAAAGTGGCAGAGAAATTAGAAACAAAAATTTAAGAGCCATATATAAGAAGATGTCATCAAACCTGTATGACATTGAAAACTAAGATAATATTTAGACATGTTTAAATGAAGTTTTTGTAAATTGCACATGTGTGCCATCATCCTGTACCTAATATATGGCTAAGTGTGATTGCGATTACTTTTTAATTTGAGAGTCTAGAATCCTTCTGTTCCTAACAGCTTTAGTTAGTCAGGGATCAAAATAACCCCACATTTTCTTCTTTCACGGGATCATTGTAAAATAATAGCTGTATGAACATGGCAATGTGAAGTCTATTTTTCCTTTCCATTATGAAATCCTGTTTTATAGGAAATTGCTGTGACTGCAGTTATATTAAAAATGGTGTTTTAGATTAAATAAGTTGACCACATTGCTTTACTGCTCTCAGATTTTGATTTCCAAAGTACTCTTTTTCTCAGAATATAACCAGCAAGAATGACTCAATGCTGGTAATACAGTTGCTATGTAATTATCAGATATTTCAGTATCATTACTAGTACTTTAAAGGAGCAAATATTTCCGTTTAAATATCCCCCAAATTAGCAAATTTTATATTTTTCTGCATCTAGTACTTTTGAGGTATGTAATAAATATTGGAGTATATAATAAGTATCTAATGGAGTACTTGCTTTGTCAGCGCATATACTAAAATTGGAACAATACAGAGAAGATTAGCATGGCCCCCGTGAAAGGATGACACGCAAATTTGTGAAGTATTCCATATTTTTTATAAAAAACTAAATAAATCGTGATGGCCATGGCAGCAAAAAAAAAAAAAAATTATCTAATGCATTAAACCACATTATTTTTTTAAAAACTATCTGGGGCAAAAATATAATTCACTGATTCCTTCCCAGAGAGGTAACCATCAGTTACCTCTTTCTTTTTTCTATTACTAAGCTTGATTAACTAATATAGATTAATAAATAATAAGTACAAATTAGTTCATCTAGCTGGCAGAATATGGGTTAAAATGCTTAGTCATTTAAAGACTATCAAACAATTTTGGGGAAAAGTGGGGGTGGGAGACAGGAAACAAGAATTTATATTTGTGGAAAATCATAAGGACTGTTAAATATACTTACCCTAGAAATTGAAATAGTGAATTACTTTTTTTATTTCAAATTAATATGAGAGTATAAAAGTTCAGGTTATAGTGTTTTTACTTCTAAAGTAAAATTCAAGTTGTAGTTGAGCCCTTCGTCCAGGGGGTGTGCTGAACACCCTCCCATTGTGCACAGTGGACACAGTAGATGAGATCCCGCCAGGCACCTGCCCTCCACCCCGGTTGTCTTCCCTCCCCCGCCCCTTGGTAGACTATATTTGTGTTTTATTATTGGTGTGGGCAATAGTATAATTACTTTTAATCATTTGAGCTCTTAAGTTTTAGCAATTTTCTCTTTTCAGTTTATTAAGTCAGAAAAGGCATTTGTGTCTTGGTGCACTATGATCATCAACTATTTCACAGCCCTATGTTTCTATGGATATGTTATTTTAATTCAAGCCCTAATGATTTTAGTGTTAGATATACCTTTATTTATATTTATAATTGTAGCAACTATAATATTGTGCCACTTAAATTTTATTTAACAGTGGGTGTTCCATGTGCTCACTCTGTCATGTGTGTGTCCAAGAATCTACTGGACAGTCATGCACTCACACACACTACGCGTACAGGCACACATGCAGAATGAATGGATGAAACTTTACAATTTAGATGGAAAAACATTTCTGAATGTGTATAAATATCAGTAAGTTGATGAGAGTTTGCAGAATGATATTCCTAGATGTTACATAATCTGCTTGACAGTCCAGGAGATTCTTTCAGAGGGTAAAATAAAAAATCACACTAAATTTTTAGACCATTTGGCACAAATCACTTAATTCTTTGAACTATTACTGGTTGTTGATTTTTCTTCATCAGTTGTCTGTTTTGGCTGCTATGACAGAACACTACAGACTGGGCAGCTTACATGAGGTCTGACAACCAAGTTTGAGAACTCATGTTAGAAAAAGCGCTGGAAGGGTGGGCTAGGCCCTGGCGTTGGTGCACAGCTTCCCAAGGAACACTTCAGAGGTGACTAATGACATTCAGTAACCAGGCAGGTAGCATTTTTTCTAAGATGAGTCCACAAACTTAATTGTCCTACCTTGTAAACAGCAGACTTTTATTTTCCACAGTTCTGGAGGCTGGGCACAGCGGACGTGGTGTCTGGTGCATAGACAGATGTGAGGTGCGCTCATGTTATGTCTGCACATGGTGGAAGGGGTGGAGGGGCCTTCCAAACACTAATCACCTTTCCAGAGCCCCCACCTCCAAGTACCATCACCTTTAGGGGTTAGGTTTCAAGTTAAGAATTTGGGGCACACATACACATTCAGTCTCCGGTACTAGATAATGCTTAACTTTAGGTAATCTAGCTTTTGGGAAAAAAAAAAAAAAAAAAATATATATATATATA